CATTTCTGCAGTGCTCCCATGCTCCCGTTAGGCCGAGGAAACACAAAAAACTGAGGTATGCTGGGGGCAAGTGCCCTTTTATTTGGTGTATGTGATGGGTTTCCTGTTTCAGGTGGGAGGAGACTATCTCTCAGATGCTGTCCTGGAAGATTACTTGGGAAAAATAGCCCATTAAAAAGATAAAACAAAACCACTTGTTTGCTATAAAATTTTCAATCCAGATATTTCTCTTGCATTAGTTCTTTCTTCCACTAGATGTCCTTAGTCTGATAGCACAATTAACCCAACTCCTCTGAGCCCAGGTCATTTTGGACCTGCTCCAGCCTGTTGCTGGACAGTGAAAGGAGAAGCAGCACAGATGACCATCTCTTTGTCAGCCTGTTTTCCCTTCCTATCAGCACAAAGCTTGTCAGCACATGAACTGATTGACTCCTTCTGTTTCTCCATCTCACACTCTAGTCCTGGTGTACAAGGGCTGCAAGAGACTGATGCCAGTTCAAATTCAATACTTATCCTGTTTGCATTTCAAAAATGCATTTGGTGATGTATTAAAGATTACAGAGCTAAAATAATTTGCATCTTTTATATCTGCCTAGAGTTCAGTTTTTAATGGGCCACCACTTAATTGTAAAAGACACAGGATGTGGATATTCTTCACAGCATAAGGTTTTCTCCAATACTACAGATTGCACAAGCCAGTTTGCTTAAAAAATAAAGAACCTGTCAAAAATGCATGCGCAGATTTTCCTCACAAAGAAAGAAACCACGTGCAGAGACCCTCCTTTGTGAGAGCCATTATCCCCACGGGCTGCTAAAATATAAAATTCACTAATGATTGGACTAGAGATGACATCTAACCCAGTAGGGAAAAAGCTTTCATGCTAACGAACAAATTAATTATCGAACTCAACCATATTTGTAAGATCGAGTTCATTTTCTTCACTAGTATTTACAGTCATTGTTCTGTAATCGTGAAGAGTTTGTGGAATAATTCAGATGCGTCTCTAACACATGCAGGTGGAGCTTACACCCCTTTGTTCACCCTCCTAGCAGCCACACAGAACAAAGAATGCAAGCCTCACTCCTTGCATTGGCATTTCGGGAGTACATCAAGGATTCAGCATCTGTTCAGCCCTTCCCCTCTGGAGTGCTTCTGTCTTTGTTTGACAGCTCGATCGCAATTACAAAAGACAGCAATGACAGGGATGTTAGTTCCAGCCACTGTACACATACCATCACTACTTGGGCAATCTGCTCACACACATCTCCACCAACATGAAACATTAAGTGAACGCTTTGACATCTTGTACAGCATTCCACACATCAGTAAGGGTGAGTGCAATTTGGGGGACTTACAAGAACAATGGAATCCTCAACAGACATCTCTCTTTAATATGTAGCGGACATTTACGGAACACTACACGTTTATTCCACTTGTGAGCAATCTGTATCAATGACCGGAAGAAAAGTATTACTGCAGCTTATAGTAATTATAAGTGTATTAGCACAAAGGGCAGCTAATTGGAATCAAGGAAAACGCAAATCTAGGATTATCAACCATGAAACCTATCAGCTAGGAATACTAAGCTTCTTTCAAGTTAAAAGCGCAAGTTAAAAAAAGAAAAAGGCAAAGCAATACTGGCTTTCTGAGCTTCTAGACTATGCCAAATGTATTCCTACGCTTTCTGCTTATGAATCAAGACAAACACCTTTTCCAAAGAGTGGTAGAAAAAAAAAATCCTAGCTTGGAAGTTGCGGATTACATTACCCAGCGCCGCCTAACTGTCAAGGAACAAAACGCCATGAACAAACAGACCTCCGTCAGATGCAATGGACAGTACGAAGATCATTCTTCAACAGCACACACAGTGAAAGCGGCTGCGCACAATAAAAGTAAATGCACAAAAGAACATCTGCTCCTGACTGAAAAAGAAAACCTATACTCAAGACTCCCAATGCTCAAAACGCTGCTGGAGTCTTGCCCTCAGCAATTACTGCTAAAGTAAAGACATTTTATGACCAAAAAAAAACATTTTTTTTTTAATGCAGATGGCTATTGAAGAAAACAGGCCTCCCCCACCCTACCATAATCTTATCTGACAGTGTACGGGTGCTGAAAGCTGTCTGGGCTGGGCGGCAGTGACATTAACCCACTCCCAAACTAAGTGAAGTACAACAGCATGTAGTAGTATGGCTCCATTCCACAAATTATAAAGTGCCATAGCTAGTTTGAGGTTTTAAAGGGAGATAGCAAACTTTAAAAACTCTTTCCTGTCCTTTATCACACCAAACCAAAAGCCAAGCTAAGCAGGTCTACACTAATCATTCATTAAAATTTTGACCAAGGCCCTTCATACTTTTGGTAATATGTGTGTAAAGGGTAACATGCAGCTATGTCCACCAGCACAGTAATCCATGCAAAAAAAAAAAAAAAGACATTCTCCTTCAGTGGTCATCTACGACTCTTTGAAAACTGTGGTCCAGCGCCCACAAATTACATTATCCTGCATTTATATTATTTTTATTGAATAAGAGATGGAGGACCAGAGCCTGCGCTCATCAGCTGCTCTCCAGATTGGAACACATGTGCCAAGAAGAATTCCTCTTCCTAAAAGGTGCCCATACACCTTACGACCATCGCAAGACTTTTGTCTTGCGATGGTCGTATGCTTATTGAAAGCTCGTACGATCTGCCCACCTTGGACGGGCAGATCGTACTTGCGATCATCGTTAGCCCGCCCCGCTGAGGGACGGGCTTCCGATGACCGCAATGCAGAATGGGCAGTGTGAGCGTGCGCACACCGGCCCGTTCCGCAGCTATCGGGCGAGCAGGCTAGAAACCCGCCGACAATCGTACGATTCTCGGCGGGTTTTCGAGCATGCTGGTTCGACAAAAGACGTGCGACAGTACAGTAGAAACGGTCGCACGTCTTCGTTCACACTGCTCGATTCTCGTACGATCACGGGATTTCGCCCGATTCTCGTACGAGAATCGAGCAGTGTATGGGCACCTTAACAAGCATTTTTTTTAAATGACAGAGGGATCATGGGAGACTAACTTCAGAACAGCAACAACGAGTACTTTGGGTAAAAAGCTGTACTTAATTCATGAAAATCTTTAATTCTCACAAGTCAGCGTTTCCACTTTAAGTACAATAAAGTCTTGCCAGAACACAACAGATGAATGACATACAATCAATGACAAATGATCTGCAGAACTGGATGCATTATGTTAAGTGGACCCGTCATCTTTCCACTGCAACAGATTGACAAGTATGGAGCGTCTTAATCTACAAGCAATGACATAGCTGAAAGGAAAGCAAAATGCTGCTGCCTAGTTAAAAGTGTGGCTGGATTGTCACTGGCAGACCAGCCTATCAAATTGCTGTGTGAAGACTGCTCCACTTCGAGTAGAAATGTCAAGACTTTGTACTGTATAATACATACCACAAACAATTGTATATGGCATTATCAACATACTTCATTCAATTCTGCAGAAGCCATAAATTTAACATGTATTCAACTACTACAATGAACTTGGCATTGCTGCATGTAGAGTATTTGTAGACTCATTTTACAGATCAGTTGTACACAATCACCTTGAGAACATTAACTTGAGTCAGTACTGTCATAAATCTACAAACAAACACGCATTAAAAAACATTCTATGTACTACTGCAGAGTGTACACACCATCAAGAAATCACTCATGCATGACTTCACTATAAAAGTATATTTGTTGACTATATCAACCAACCAATTGTCATTTCTCCAGTGCAGGATGAAAAAGAAAGAAAGAATCTGTGCATTTTTTCATACTTGAGGCCATTTTTAATTGGAGAAGGGGGCACAGTTCTCTACTCTGATGTATCCTCCTCTGAGTTGGTCAGCTAGTTGGTCCTTGCCGATACTCTAGACACAGATTGAGAATGGGGTTCAGCATTCACTCAATAGACCTACTTTAAGCATTGAGAAAAGGGGTTCAGCATTCACGCAATAGACCTAATTTAAGCATTGAGAAAAGGGGTTCAGCATTCACTCAATAGTAGACCTACTTTTAGCATTGAGAATGGAGTTCATCATTCACTCAATAGTAGACCTACTTTAATAGTAGACCTACAGCGCTATCGGATCGGGGAATCCACCCCCTCCCCTGTCACGGCAGAGAGCTGTGACAGGATCGAGAGGTGCGCGAACGCCGATATATGTTCGCTCACCTCATTGTCACAGGTCGGCTAGAACTATGAGGTGAGTGAAAAGCACTCACCTCATAGTTCTCCTTTAAGCATTGAGAATGGTGTTCAGCATTCACTCAATAGTAGACCTACTTTTAGCATTGAGAAAGGGGCTCAGCATTAGAATGGGGTACAATATTCACTCAAAAGTAGCCCTACTTTACAATTGAGAATGGGTTTTGGCATTGAGAATGGGGTTCAGCATTCACTCAATAGTAGACCTACTTGAGCATTGAGAATGGGGTACAGTAGTCACTCAATAGTAGAGCAATTTTAGCATGGAGAATGGGGTTCAGCATTAGAATGGGGTACAGCATTCACTCAATAGTAGGTCTACTTGAGCATTGAGGCATCCAATGCACACAACTGTATTGCAGAAAGGTATGTAATCCTAAACAGCTTTGAACACATCTATAAAACTGTTGATCCAAGCTAGCTCTTTAAAGAGGAGGCCACTAGTGAAGCTTCTCTGAGACAGAGCATTGTTCTATCCCACACATTCCATAACAACAGAGACGCTGCTGTACACGTAGAACCCATTGTTGTACAGCGAGGATATCCCACTTGTTTACAGAGAGCATCCTGGAAATCCACTACTATGGGATGGAAGTTCTTCTCCACCTCGCTGGAGCCACACATACACAATCATACACAATGGGCCACCGACAGATGTCAAAGTGATTTGCTCTAGTGACCTTTTTCTTTATTGAAGGCAGCAAGTGTCCACAAGTCCAAGTACAAAGCCCTATAAAACACAAGCTCTCACCTGAGAAGACAGCATGAGCTCAGCATCTTCAGCTTGCCACAGCTCCACCATGCTGGGGACTGGCTCGATCACTAGAGATTGGGCAAAACAAAACAAAAGACCCAATTTTATTCAAGTCATAAAAACAAGAGCAACACATCAGGCAGGTCTATTTGTAAACACACAATAAGAGAAGCCATAAGATCCATCGCTCTAGCAGGACTGTGTTGGTCAATGAAGGCCAACAGCACATGTGCCAAGCAGCACCATGGCAGTGATGTTGTGTACACATGGTTACCAGGTTGTCCAGGACTTGGGATGTCTGGAGATGCAGACAAAGCCTCCTTGGGTATACCTGGAGGCGCCCCAATGACCACATACAGCACGCTGGCCATGAACAATGCCAAACAAATGGGCTCCACGAGTTCACAGAGCACAGCTCGTTGTTCTTCTCCATGGAAGTTCACAGGCCCATTTCCTCTTGTGTACAGCGCGGTCCGCCTCCTCCTTCTCCCACAGAAGCAGTGGCAGGGCCCCCTCAGCAGTAACTAGACGGTGCAAAGCCTACATTCTCCATTGTGCACAGACAACGCTGCTCCTCACCTTGCCCTCCTCCTTGCCGAAAGCAGGGCAGCAAGACGTGGAAAACCCCGAGCATAATATTGACGGCCGTGGCAGTACAGCAGCGGCTGCCCCTGAAAGGGAGAAGCAGCCCCGCCATGCTGCTGCTGCTATCTCTCTTTAGGCTCTGTGCTCGCTCGGGTGTCACAGCAGCGGAGCGGGCGCCCCCCCCCCGTGCCCACGTGGGGCGGGGGGTGTGTGTATGTGAACGCGCCCAGAGGAGTGTGTGCGCTGTCACCGCTTGCGTGCAGCGGTGGGCGGGGCTAGCCTTCCCAAACAAAGAGCCCGGGACTTGTGCCCGACCCCTACAGTGGCAGACAAAGGTATGCGGCCGCTTGGGCACGTTGTGTGTGCTGGAAGGCCGTCTGCCAGGGCACGGGGCTGTCAGGCTGCCCTCTATGGCCCAGGGAGGTCAGCTAGGCAACTCTTAACTCATCCTGGATATCATTTTTACATCGGTAAAGCGACACTGTCATGGGGGATTCACTACAAGTGTCTGTATGTGGAGCAGTTGTCCATGGCAACCAATCAGCTTACAGCTTTTACTTGCAAAGCTTAAACGAACGAACTGAAGAGAGGTGCTGATTGGTTGCTATGGGCAACTGCTCCAGCTTTGATTAACTCCCCATATAGAACTTTCTTTTGGTGGTGATTAATAATAGCAGGGTTTTTATTATCTCTAGAAAAATAAATCTTCCCTTTTCTGTTATAAAACACATTAAATAATAAAAATGGCAGGACATTACAGACACCCACCACCTGACCACCTTTTTGGAAAGTATATTATAAAAGAGAGCGAGACTGGCACTTTAACCCCCCACCCCTTTAAAACAAAAAGCCCAGAGTTAGAGCCAGCCGTTTGGAAACATGACGGAATAAATACTTTACTGGACAATGTATATTTTTGATCTGGATTAATTATTGAATAAAGTTTGAGCATGTAATACTACTTTTCACTGCTTGCATAAAAAAAAAAGGATGTATCAATGGTTACAGAAGTAGATTCAATTCTGCCTTTTATATCTGCCTGGAGTTTAGCTTGAGGGCTAGTTCACACCATAACTGCGAACGTCTGCGCAGCTGCAGTGCGATGCGTTTTGACCAGATTTTGACATCGTTTTTTAGCTTAAAATGGGCGTTCGGGTACAGTCCAGTGCATTTGCATGCATTTTGATGTATTCCGTTGTGATCAGGTGCAGCTAAAATGAGATAAGCAGTATTGTTTTTGGCTGCATCGGAACGGACTGCACTGGTGTAAACAGAGCACCAGAAATCCCATTGGAAAGCATTGTGACGTGATTTTGATGCGGCTGCCAACCTGAACGGAATGCATCAGAACTGCAACTTGTGTGAACTAGCCCTATGGCTCTGTTCACACCTAGGCGTATCGAATATGCGCGTTTGTCGTGCGTTCCGTGACGCGCGTTTCCGAGGGCTACTTGGCTGTATCCCAATGGAAACGCCTGACAAAAACGCTGCAAAGAAGCTCATGTACCTTTTCAGGCGTAAGCCGTTTTGTAGCGCGTTCAGACAGGCTGAAATACAGCAAGGTGTGAACCATACCCATAGAAAGCAATGGGATTTTCATGTTTGAGCATTTTGTAGAGCGTTCGTAGAGCGTTGAACGCGCTACAAAACGTACAGGTGTGAACCAGGCCTTAGGGCTTGTTGACACCATGTCCGGATCATGTCCAGCCCAGAACAGTTTGTTCCCGGACCAAAAAAAGCATCCCAATGTATGCCTATGGTATTTCTGGGTTCTGTTTACAATATTGCAGTCCGATCCACTCCAGACAAAAAAAAAGACGCATGCAAACGCACTGGAACGCTCCTGAAAGCCCATTTTAAGCTAACAAGACTTAACTAGAGTGTCTCCCATCCTCTGGAACTCTTTACCCCAACCTGTCCGTCTATCTCCCACCCTGACTGTCTTTAGGCGTTCCCTGAAGACTCATCTCTTCAGGGAAGCCTATCCCACCTCACCCTAACCACTGAACAATCACTTTCTCAAACAATCATCCCCACGCAGCTACCTCCTCATGTATCACTTGCCCTCCCTTTTTAGATTGTAAGCCCTCACGGGCAGGGCCCTCCTTACCATCTTGTCTTAAATTGTATTGTGACTGTAATGTCTTCCTTATATTGTAAAGCGCTGCGCAAACTATTGGCGCTATATAAATCCTGTATAATAATAATAATAACAAAAAAAAAGTCCTGGAACGCAGGAAAAATGCACTGCACTGTGTTTGCAGATCTGATCCGGACATGGTGTGAACATAGCCACACCACAGGGGAAATGTGTGTGCAGTCACTAGGTTTGGTCAGCTTTCTAAAACAAAAAGCATTCTGCCTGTGTCTGTTGTCGCACCATTTTATGCCCTATGTTAAACTGTCAAATGAGGACGTCCGGGAAACATTAGTGTGTAAAAATAAGAAGTGCCGTGTTTTGGGATACCCGTCATTTCACAGACAGACAATCATTTCACCTTCATTCATTTTGGAAACCTGATAGTGAAATATAATTCTTTCTGTGGCAGAGCGATCACAAATAATGACAACCGTCTCCTATAACACACAGCTAGCACACTTCATCACACAGACACTGGACAGAAAACCTACGGCATGTATTAGAACCTGCAATATTGTATTTTCTCAAAACGCAGCGGGGCAAGCAACACCTACCACTAACACTTTTCAGACACACACAGGCTTATCTTTTGAGTAAAGTAGGCTTTCACTTTCATTTAAAAATCAGCCACTGCTAAGAACTGAAAACACAAAGCTGTACCACAATAATGGGCCAAAATGAAAGTGACACAAAATCTTAAAAGGATTCAAGTACCTTAACAATCAACAAAAATGTATGTTATTTGTGTATCAGCTGTAGATCCTCAAATCATCTCTGAATTAGTGCTGACACTGTCCTTCCTTCTGGAGGGTGGCTACTTTTGTTCCCTATGGTCCCTGTGTGTTGTAAAGTAGCCACCGCTCCAAGCTCGCTCCTGTGCTGGACTACAATCTCATGTTTAGTTTAATAAATTGTAGTGTATCACGGGAGTGAGTTTAGAGCGATGGCTACTTTACAACACCACAGGAGTGGGCTTGGAGTGGTGATAACTTTACAACACACACAGGGACCATGGGGAACAAAAGTAGTCACCCTCCAGAAGGCAGGACAGTGTCAGCACCAATTCAGAGATGGTTTAAAGTAGAAGTGCACCGAAATGGAAATTTTAAAACCGAAATGAAACCGAAATTTAAAAAAAATATCAGGCCGAAACTGATACCGAAAATGTTTTTTATTTTTATTTTTTCAATTTTTTAAAATATTTTATTTTTTATAAACTTTTTAATTTTTTTATATTTATTAATTCATTTTTTATTAAATATTTTTATTTTTTACTTTACTTTTAGGGGCTTTGGGGAAATATTAGTGGTCTAAAAAGACCCCTGATATTTCCCTTTTAAAATAGAAAAAGAGATTGAGTACACACAGTCCTCATTCTCTTTTTCTGTGTCCCCTGTTATCAATGAACAGGAATCCTCTATGAGTGTTCCTGATAACATGAGAACATTGTTTGTTTACTATAACCACAATTATGAATGACTGGGGGTGATGTAGATCAGTGCTCCCCAACCTTTTTATCGCCGCGGACCGGTCAACGTTTGATAATTTTACCGCGGCCCGCAGAGGGGGGGACGTTGATTGTTTATATTTTAGATTTGTAGCGCCCTCTAAAATGTCGCTATTCAATTTAGAGA